AATCACCTGCTGTTTGCTGGCGGCCCTAGACGCACCTGCAGGTCGCTTGGTGCCGACATCGGCCTGGGCGTCTGCCTGGGCCTTGGCGGCGGAGATGGCGGCCTTCATGACGTCCAGGTTGCGCTTGGGCGCCACGCCCTTGTCGTAGAACTCCAGCCGGTCCTCCACCTGCTGCTTCAGCTTCTCGCCAAACACACTCGTGCTCGCCTCTGCGCTCAAACGGATTTGTACCATGATCATGCACGGCAGGGACGAGGGAGGAGCAGCACGGATTGATGGCCGACCAGCGCACATCGGACCAGTTGACAGAACTGTGATGTGGGAAAAGACGGTCTTTGAGGGTTTAGGGAAGCAGAGAGCTGCTCAACAACAGGGTTCCTGGCAAGCACCTGAGAAGCAGTCGATGCGCGAGGCCATGGAGCACTTGTTGGCGAGGTAGCGCGAGATGCGGCCCTTGTTCTTGGCGGAGGCGCGGCCGATGAACGACGAGTGGAAGATGAGCCCGTACTTGGGCGTGTTGCCCTTCGTCTTCAGCGCCCTGCCGCCCACGCCAAGGGCGGGGGGAGGGAGGGGTTTCAAAAGAGGGGGTGGTTAGGGACAGGGTTAAGGATATAGCACGGGGGTGAGGGAGAAAGGGGGTGGGAGAGGAGACTGGTAGGAGAGGGGAGGGAGGGAGAAAGGGGGGGAGCGGTAAAAAAAAGATTGATGGGCAGCAGGAGGGTTGTGGAAAGCCAAACGTGGCTTGTTGGCATGCACGCGTTGGTGTGCATGAGGGGAGGGACGAGGAATGGGACGAAAGCATGAGGCGGATTCAGCACCCACCTAAAGAGCCTTGCAACAGCAACCCACCTCAAGAGCGCCTTTTCAGCGCGCGCACCTGAAGAGCGCCTTTTCGGCGCCGAGGATCTGCACGGTGCTGGCGGGGTACTTGGCGAGGTTGGTGAGGCTGCCCGCGTGCGAGATGAGGCGCGCGCCCACCATCTCGCCGATGAGCGCGGCGAGGTTGGGCGCGACGTCGTGCATCTTGGCCGTGAGGTACGAGTGCAGGTCGCGGCGGTACTCCACCAGAGACACCACGCGCGACGCAAACGCCTCGATGTTGATCAGGTCGATCGGCGATATGTCCTGGCCTGCCGCCCGCACCGGGGAGAAAGGTGGGGGAAGGGGGGGGGGAACGGGGGAAGGCGGGGGGGTGTGGGGGGGAACGGGGGAAGTTGTGAGAGGGGTGTACGACGAGAAGGGCGCAGCATGGACGGGTGATGAAGCCACGGCTGAGAGAACGCGAAACGGAGTAGAGGAAACACCAGAATTGCAGCTCGAACGAGAGTGCACGAAACCCCTCATTGCCGCCCGCCTCGCGCGCACTCTCGCGCGCACACCACTGGCTAGACCCCTGCCCCATCGTTCCCCTACCCGCCACCCACTGCTGCCTCTGCGGCCCCCTACTCCTCTGCTGCCGTGCCCCATCTCTCGCCCGAGTGTCCAAATACCCTCCCCCTCCCGCCCCCTCACGGACCCATGCTGGCCTTGGCGGCGTCGAGCACCTCCTTGGCCTTATCCTCGTCGCCGATGATCTCCGTCAGCTCCGCCACCGCCTCCTCCGTCAGCGTCGCCTTGTCCTTCACGCGCCGCGCCACGCGCGCGTACGTGTAGTTGTCCGTCACGATCCGCGCCAGCTCGGGGAAGTGCCACGAGTACCACTCCCTGCGCCACACGCGCACGCGCACACGCGAGCGGAAAACCCAGGAAGAACGTGTTTCAGGGTTTGAGTAATCACGCATAATCGGTGAAACGCGCGTGGGCGGAAGGGCGAAGGTGGAAGGAGGCGAGAGGGGGTGGGCGGGTACCTGACGCGCATGCAGAAGGTGTTGACGTCCTTGTCGAGCGTGTCGAGCAGGCTGATGGCCTGGATGATCATGTTGTCCACGCGGTTCACGTTGAACTTCACCTTGCTCCGGCTGTAGCTGTGCCCCAGCCCCAGCGCCGCCCGCGCCACGTCGCCCTCCTTCAGCTCCTTGACGAAGCGCGCGAAGTGCAGGCGCACGCCGCGCATGAGCTCCATGACCAGGTCGTTGCTGACGCACGGCACGCCCGCCGCCTCCTGAATAGCGGACCCCAGCTTGGCCTCCGACACGCCCAGCTGGAACGACGGCTTCTTGCCCGCCTTGGCCTTCGACTTGGGCAGATTCATCTCTAGAAAGCTCTGCAGCTCCGGCGTCAGCAGCCCTGCCACGCACGGCAAACGAACGCAGCAGCACCGTAAAAGCAAAAGCATAGGCACGCCTCAGTACGCGCGCACACCGCTACGAGCACAAGGCACCCAACGCACATTCCCAGTGTGCTATCCAGGTCCGAGCGGACAGCATCACGGCTGGCGGAGAGCGCCCAACGGAAAGGCGCAGCCACGGGGATGCGACGAGGGATGAAGAGCACACCTTCAGACACGGCGTTGCATTGCTCGAGAGCATCTGCCGCTGAGCTGAAGGGCTTGAATGCGGAGAGGTTGACGACCTGGCTGAAGCGAGTGAGATCCGCCACGGACGCCTGAACGGCGTCCGAGCTCTGCGCCAGCTCGTCCAGCGCCTTGACCTCGAACAGCCCGTAGCCCGACGACGACTCGAACAACAGGAATAACGCCTGCGCATCACAAGAGCCGCCAAGATAGGAGACGAGAGAAACGAGCGGCACGACGTCAATTCTAGAACATCGGCAAAATGCATACTTGCCTATCGAGAAAGAACTAGAGAACGTACCATGGTCACTAAGCAACGACGCGACGCCTATAATCTGACGTCTATAATCTCCTACCGCATCAACCCTGTATTAAACCCTGTGCGTTGTGCCTGGGGAGAGGACCTATGAGGTGCACTGGGGTGGGGTTTGGTTGCAGAACAGAATGACGAGGAGCTTGGCAGCAATCTCCTTACAACTCCTGGTGAACCTTGGCTTCCACCCGGGAATCATGCCTCCTGATCCGTTATGTTACACAAAAGCATACCGAGTACAATGAATGGTTGCTTTGTAACAGGGTTGACTTATCGCTCATCAATTTTTCTATGACCTTATGTGTGATATTGATTTTAATTTTAAATTCAGGTATCCCCTATTTTTTTGTTTATGTTTACGTAGTTGTGAGATGCGTAAAGCAATTTTAATACAGGTGTGTTAGGGGGGTTACAAGATGTTTTTCCAAATCATGGACATTGAACGGTAGAGAGGTGATGCGCCGTTGCATTAGCATTCATGCTTGGTTGGTATATAGGTAAAAGATAGAGAGTCACATCCATATTGCCTGAACAGCACGCTCTCTCTCCAGCAATTCTTGGGACTTGCTCTTGTCGAATTACCACCATATGCTGGACTTCTGTAAATCTTGGCGCTTCGTGGATCAACTATAGGTGCTGACGCTAGAAGTTCGTCCAGACCAGTGGTTCTTTCGCGTATAGTAACGCACCAGTAAGGCACTTTTTGGGGGGCAATTCCAGTGCGTGTCGCCCTCGCACCACCTTCTCGAGCACGTGCGAATCTCAGCTTGTGCCGAAGCCGCCTCTCGGAGCTTCGTAGTTGTTCGCCCTGCTGCCTTTCTTTCGCCTCTTCGCGTCGCTGCTTCCTCTTGCGCCGCCGGATCACGCGGCGGCGTGGCAAGCATGAAGACGGGAGGGACGTTTCAGGAGATCGTGGCGCTCGCGGTATCGCTGGGGGGCCTCTGGGCGCTGCTGCTGGCGCAGCAGTTCCCGCCGGCCGTCAATCAAGTCATCCTCATCGTACAACTCCACTGCGCTCCCCGCAATATGCGCTGCCCCGTCCCCGCCATTCTCGTCGGACTCGCCTCCCACTCGCGTGTGGCCCATGCGCTCCTCCCAATCCCCCCCTCGTCCCTGTCCCACTCCCCTCCGTGCCTACCTCGCTCCCCCTCGCGTTTTCTCCGATGTTTGCCTCTCCATTCCGGCCTGGCGCTCCACGGCACCTCACGCCCCACGGCACCTCACGCCCCACGGCACCTCACGCCCCACGGCACCTCACGCCCCACGGCACCTCACGCCTCCTGCCTCTTCCCCTTCTGCCCACCGCCCACCCACCTGCCCCCAACTCTTTGCCCTTCCCCCCTGGCGCAGCTGCCAGTGTACGCGTTTGTGGCTCTGGGGTGCTACGGCGTGGGGGCTCTGGGCTACGGGCTGATGCGCTTCCCCACGTGCCCACATGAGGGCGCGCTGCTGCGCAAGGTGACTTGGGCGAGTGTGATAGTAGCGAAGGCTGTGGCTGCTGCAGGGCCCGTAGCTTGTGAATGACGGCAGGGGCATGAGGGGATGGCGCAGAGACGCATGCATGGCAGTGTGGCCGACCAGTCTTCCATGAGCATGCGGGACCTCTCATTGTGTTGCCTTGGGATGGGGGTGATTCAATGGCTTCATGCTCATGTCCTCTGGATCGCTTCTGCTTGTAGATGCATGCTTCAAGGAACTGCATGGGTACGCGGACTCACATGTGCAGCATGCATGTCTGCTGCCACGTGGATTTGTGTCTGCTGCCATGTGGATTTGTGTCTGCTGCCATGTGGATTTGCATGTGCTCCCATGTGGATTGGCCCGTGCTGCCATGTGGATTTGCATGTGCTGCCACGTGGATTGGCCCGTGCTGCCATGTGGATTTGCATGTGCTGCCATGTGTGGATTCGTGTGTGCTGGCATGCATGTCTCTCATGTGCATGTGTGTTGCTGGCAGGACATAGCTGAAGCCAGGGAGTATCTCTCCAAGTACGGCCTGCAATAGTTCCCGTGCCTGCAACCCATCCTCCACATTCCCCACTGCTCACTGCTCACACATCCACACGCATTGTGCCTGCCAACCAGCTAGGCCAGCTGTTATTTCTCGCAGGGCTATGTACCATACGATTCCAAACATGCATTTCTCATTGAGGTTCATTCCTTGTAGCTGTGTGTATTGGCTCTATACTAAGAGTCCCATGTGTGTATTCTTGTAAGGCCAGGGGCCGGGACTAATGGAGCCGTGTTTCAATGAATCCTGTTGCTTTGACAACCCGTCTGGTGCTGTGCACCCTTCACCCATCGACTCGGCCCTACTGGGCGTTAGAGAGCACTAGTTTGGGGCGCGTCTTGAAGATGAGCTTGTGCCGAATCACCCCCTCCACCCTGTACCTCACACTCGCCTCCCCCTCCACTGCCATTCCACTGCCGCTGTGCCGTGCTGCACCCACACCAATGCCATCCCCCCCGCTCCTGGCGTCCAGCCCCCCACCCTCCCCATCCTTCCCCTCCCCATCCTTCCCCTCCACTCCACCCCCCTCGCCTCTCGCGCCCCTCTCTGCCTGCGCTGCTGCCTCCCTGTGCTCCACGCCTGGCAGCAGCGCGCGTGCCTTCCTCAGCAGCACCAGCGGCTTGGGCAGCACTGCCATGGCGCCCTCCATCCGGTGGTGCCCCACCGTCAAACGCACCGCGCCCTGGCCCCCTCACAGGCATGCATGCACACACACACACACACACACACTCACACGCACTCACACTCGCACACACACACACGCACACGCACACACACACACACACACACACACACACACACCCACCCACACCCCCCTACACACACACACACACCCACCCACCCACCCACACCCACACACACATACACGCATGCACACACACGGCAGAAAGGGTACAGTGAGAGTTAAAGCTGCCACTGCCATGCCATACGCCCGCTTGTGCAAACTGCCACTGCCATGCCTGTAGATCCGTACTATCCAGAACATGCCATATCACGCCATACCGTGCAGTAGCAAAAATGCATTCCGTACGATGCCGCACCACACCACACCATGCCATGCCATGCCATCCCATCTGGCCTCTTGCTGCTCCCACTCTCCCACGCATCCCTTGTTCCAAACTCACCCTCTCCGCCCCCACCTGTTGCGGGCAGGTCAGCGTGCCGATCGGAGTGGCCCCCGCCCCCCATGCGCGCCCCACGTCACAATCACCTTCACCGCCTTCCCCGCTGCCACTCGCGGACCCGCTGTGGCCGCCCCTCGCCTCTCCCCCCGCGCACCCACTGCCTGGCAGCGCGGAGGGCAGCGCGGCGGCGAGCGCGGGCAGGTCGGCGCGCAGCTCGCCTTGCAGCTCCACCAGCGCCCATTGCGCGCACTGCGCGCCCCCCTCTCCGACTCGCACGTCACGCGGATTATCATCGCGGCCGGGCGCGCGCAGGGGGGGTGTGTCACGGACACGAGGCAGGGGGGGCCTTGATGGCCATGTGCTAAACACGGATACCCCAAAAGCCGACGTGCTAAAAGCGGGGATCCATTGAGTGTGATATTGTGGCAGTCGGAATTTCGGCGCGCAGGTCAGGTGGGACTGGGTTGGTTGGAACGAAACGAAGAGCAGGCGAAACTTTTGTTACCAGCTTCAGGTGAATGGATTCCGTCTCGCAAATTGGTTTCAAATTGGTTGGAAGTCCATGTGGGGTTGGACCATATTCGATTTGCTTCTTTCTGCGCCTCCATTCTTCAGCGTCCCTCCTCGCCCTCTTTCGTCCGCTATTCCCGTTCGTCATCCCCTCCTCGCCGCATATCCCGCGTCCCATCGCCAGCGCCATGGATCCCGCACCGCCCATCCGCCCACAGGTCGTGCGCGGGCGCAACGCAGTGGTGGCGGCGGGGCTGGTGGCGTTCGTGGGTGGCGTGTACGCGTACACGATGCGCGCCGTGGGGGGCTCCGACGACATCGGCGACGCCGTCAGGCGACTGGAGAAGGAACAGTCGCAGTCGCACGCGACGAAGGGGACGAAAGCGACGTAGCATGGGTGTCTAGCTGAACGGTGAAGGGCGGCGAGGCGAGGCGAGTAGAAAGGAGGGCGCAGATGGCGCGGTAGCGGGCGGGAAGGCATGCGGGATGATGCGCCAAGGAAGCACGCTGCTTGACGTACGCCGTGGCTGAGTAGAATTGGCGCTGTGCAGATGTATTGACCATGTGCACACGCGTGGTGTGGGCCATGTGCAGTTTTAGTGGCCTGTTCAGGAAGCACGAAGCAGCATTGGCCTATGTTGCAATAATAGTTACTATGGCAATAGGACAGGGCTGTGTATCTACCAGATCGGCAAAAAACCCACATGGGTAGATAAATGATGCTCTTGACAGACACAACACAACCCCATGATGCCATTATAGGTGCAGCTGTTCACAGAGAGCAGCACGCGCCGTTGAGCGGTGCCGCCACACTGGCCATTCACTGCCATGCCCATCACAGACCACGGCACAGCAGGCGTCATCGCTGGCGGTGCGAGGCAATGAGGTTCTTGAGCACATTGTTGGGTGTGAGGGCGGTGTGCGCGAGGGGCTGCCCCGTGGCGGGGGAGAGCGTGCAGGCGGCCATCCAGCGCTCCATGTGCTCGCGCTCGTACGTGAACCCGTCCGCCGCCACCACCGGCTCGCGCATCACCTCCTGCCATCACCAAGGGGCGGCAGGGGGGAAGGCGGTCACAAGGGACACGGTGCACATGGGAGGTCCACAGTGGAGGGACGCATGGATGGACAGCAGGTAGCGCGCTACAGCAGGGGCAGGAGGGCAGGAGGGCAGGAGGGCAGGAGGGCAGGAGGGCAGGAGGGCAGGAGGGCAGGAGGGCAGGAGGGCAGGAGGGCAGAAGGGTAGGAGGGCAGGAGGGCAGGCAGTGCAAGTGAAGCGCACCACAATGCCCTCTACTTCCCCTACTCCCCCCCTCGCTTCCCTCTCCGCCTGTGCTACCCCCCTGCCCACAGCTGGCAAGAGCAGTCAGTTTGGCTGAGTTTCCCACCCGCCTGCCCTCCATCCGCCTGCCCTCCACCCGCCCTCACACAGTTGCTCTTGGCCTAGGCAGAGAAGGGAAGGGAGAGGCACGCGGAAAGAAAGAGGGGAGAAACGAGAAAGGGAAGGAGGAAAAGGGCGAGGAGGGCAGAGGGGGGAAGAGGCCGGAGAGGCACAAGGAGCAGCAGGAGCATGTGTGTACGTGCAGGGAGTGGCACAGTTTCAGTGTGGTTAAAGCAGGTGTCATCACAGGGATCTCGCTACTCTTTGCAATCACTGTGCTGCGCTCACAGCCCCTGCCAGTGGCACTGGCACTCCACTCCTACTCGAACTCCTCGTGATCATTTTGCAATGTCTTGCAGGCCGCACGCACCTTGGAGTTGGAGATGGGGCACAGGAACTGCTGCTCCATCCAAGTGCTGCGGCGCTCACCTTGGAGATGGGGCATATGAACTGCTGGTCGATCTGTTGCTTCCTGCGCTTCACCTCCGCCTCCGCCTCTGCCGCCACGCGCACTAGCAGCGGGTGGATCTCTCCCGCCAGCTCTGGCCGCCTGGCCCGCCGCCTGTCGGCGCACCGCAGCGCCACGCCCGCCACCTGCTCCACCAGGTCGCTGCGCCACTCGCCGCCCACCGTGTCCACGTGCCGCATCACCACTGCCACCGCCTCCGCGCTCGCCCCCCCCGGTCCCACGCCCCCTGCGCGCGGCCTGCCCTTGGAGGCGGCCTCGGCCAGCATGCGGTGCACGGCCTTGACGCTCTTCTGCCCCGTGAGCAGCTGCAGCAGGATGAGCCCCAAGGCGTAGATGTCGGACAGCGTGCTGATCTCGCACGTCTCCACCTCCTCGGGGTCGATGTACCCCGCCGTGCCGCGCACCTTCATGGTGGTGGCCCCGTCCGCCTCCAGCAGGCGCGCCAGCCCCACGTCGCCGATCTTGCTGCCCACGTGCGCGTCCAGCAGGATGTTCTCCGGCTTCAGGTCGCGGTGCACAATGGGCGGCTCGTTCTGGTGCAGGTACAGCAGCGCCGACGCCACCTCCGCCGCAATGCGCAGCCGGTCCGCCCAGCTCAGAGGCACATCATCGGGAGTCGTGGGCGGGCCGAGCTTGTCCTGCAGCGTGCCGCCTGGGAGGAACTCGTAGACGAGCGCCATTTCCTCGACGCAGCAGCCCATGAGCAGCACAATGTTGGGGTGGCGCATGCGGCTGAGCACCTCCACCTCCATGCGGAACTCCTCGGGCCCCTGCCACCCCTGCCCCTCCAGCCGCTTCACCGCCACCGCGCACCCAAGCATCTCGCCACGGAACACCTGCCCGAACGACCCCCTTCCTAGAAGGTTCGCCGCGTTGTACCCCCCAGTGGCGCGCTCCAGCTGCTCCGGAGAGAAGAGCCGGCAGTCAATGCCGCCCTCGCTCAGCAGCTGGGCGGCGGAGCGTGGACTGAGTGGGCCGGCGCCAAAGGAGGAGCGGCTGATGGAGAGCCCCCCCCCTGCGCCACTGCCAGCGGTCTGGGAGGAGTGCGCGTGGAAGCGCTGCCACGACATGCGCGTGGAGAAGTCGCGCGAGCGACTGGCAGTGGCAGCGCCCCACTGCATCTCCGTGGACAGCCCTTCAAACGCCCCCGCCCCCGCTGCCCCTGCACCCGCCCACGCCCCAGATGCCCCCGATGCCCCTGATGCCCCTGATGCCGCTGCTGCCCCCGGACCTGCAGGTGCGAAGGCGGGCGTGGAGGCGCCATCTTCGTGGTCGCGACTCCAGTGCCGGGCGTGCGGCCCACTCACGTGCAGCATGCGCTGCTGCGACAGGGACTGCCTCTGCGGGTCATGCCACGTGCATGGGGCAGAGAGGTGGGGGGCGAAACGAACATGCATGGAAGGCACCCCATGGAACATGCATGTGGGCACCCGATGGAACATGCATGTGGGCACCCGATGGAAGGCACCTGATGGAAGGCACCGCGCACAGCGAGCACACACAAACGAGCACAGAGACACGACAGTGAGAAGCGAGCACAATGCATTGTGCACATGAGGCATGCGGGTCGCTGCACAGTGGCACTGACCCCTGATCGGCTCTCTCCCCCCGCTGCATCCACTCCCTTCTCCGCCAGGCGGTTGCTGCTGACAGCTCTGCCCTCCCAGCGCTCCCCCCCCCCCTGCGCGCCCTCCTCCTCCTCCTCGTCCAGCCGCGCCAGCTCGTCCGCCAGCGACCGCGACGCACTCCCACCCGCCTCCCCATCCTCCCCCTGCCCCGCCCCTTGTCCCCCCCCAGGCTCCTCCCTCTCCTCCTCCAGCGCCACCAGCGCCACTGCCGCCTCCACGCCGCCGCGCCGCCCCCCACCGTTGAGCGCAGGGGACAGGCGCGCAGCAGCGGCAGCAGAGTCAAGCGCGCTGGTGCTGGACGAGAGCGCGCGCACATGCTCCCTGGAGCCATGCGCGCCCGGCAGCGAGGAGTGGATGGGCGGCAGGCCGGAGGGCCGGGCCATGCCGACATCGGAGGAGCAGCGGCGGAACCTCTCAGCGCTGTGGGGGTCGGCGTCCAGGGACTGCCTTGCTGCACTCGCCACACCCGGCTCCTGCAAGCAATGACGTGCACATGTGAGATGCGACGAACGCAGCAGAGGAGGCTGGCAGGTGACACCCAGCTCCATGGGCTGCTTCAGGGTTTCGCGTGCACCAACGTGCAACACAGACATGCAAGACAATCCCACCACTCACAGGGTGTGAGCTCGCTGACATGGGTGCGAGGGGACTGGCCCCCAGCGGACTGGCCCCCAGCGGACTGGCCCCCACTGACATGGACGACAAGCCGCCTCGCACAGGCGACTCCCACGGCCCCCCTGCTGCCCCGTCTGAGCGCGCTGCTGCCAGCCCCTGAGCGTGCGTGGGCGTGCATGCCCCGGGAGTGCCGGCGCTGGGGGTGGACGTGCTGGACGCCGCAGCGGCGCACTGCGCCACACGCGAGGCGGCGTCCGCCAGGGGGCTGTCAGGGGCGGCCAGCGCGGAGGGGTCGGGCGGAGTGCAGTGAGGCGCGGCAGGCGGCAGGGAGAACTGGCCGCTGGAGGACAGGCTGTGGCTGGGGGAGGAGGCGGGGGCAGAGGCGTCGCTGGCAGCCGACAGCGACGTGGGCATGGTGCGGTGGGGGGCTGCATAAGGGGCAGAGCCATTGTGCTGCGAGTCGGGAGAGGCGGCGCCAGAGTCAGACGACTGCAGTGAGGGCGCGGCAGAGGCGTTGTAGCGACAGCCAATGAAGGGGTTGGGAGGTATGGGGAAGGCAGCTTGTGCCCCTCCCGTGCCGGGCAGCGAGTGCAGCTGCTTGGAGCCCTGCGCCACCATGAGCACACAGGACGGCGGCAGCAGCGCCTGGTAGCCCGATGTGGACGCCGACGACCAGCTCAGCAGCTTCCTGCGCGCAGGGCACAGGGCGCAGGGCACAGGGCACAGGGCACAGGGCACAGGGCACAGGGCACAGGGCACAGGGGGCAGGGCACAGGGCACAGGGGGCAGGGCGCAGGGCACAGGGCACAGGGCACAGGGGGCAGGGCGCAGGGCACAGGGCACAGGGCACAGGGCACAGGGCACAGGGCACAGGGCACAGGGGGCAGGGCGCAGGGCACAGGGCACAGGGCACAGGGCACAGGGCACAGGGCACAGGGCACAGGGCACAGGGGGCAGGGCGCAGGGCACAGGGCACAGGGCACAGGGCACAGGGCACAGGGCACAGGGGGCAGGGGGCAGGGCGCAGGGCACAGGGCACAGGGCGCAGGGCACAGGGCACAGGGCACAGGGCGCAGGGCACAGGGCACAGGGGGCAGGGCGCAGGGCACAGGGCACAGGGCGCAGGGCACAGGGCACAGGGCACAGGGCACAGGGCACAGGGCACAGGGCACAGGGCGCAGGGCACAGGGCACAGGGCACAGGGCGCAGGGCACAGGGCACAGGGGGCAGGGCGCAGGGCACAGGGCACAGGGCGCAGGGCACAGGGCACAGGGCACAGGGCACAGGGCACAGGGCACAGGGCACAGGGCACAGGGCACAGGGCGCAGGGCACAGGGCGCAGGGCACAGGGCGCAGGGCACAGGGCACAGGGGGCAGGGCGCAGGGCACAGGGCACAGGGCGCAGGGCACAGGGCACAGGGCACAGGGCACAGGGCACAGGGCGCAGGGCACAGGGGGCAGGGCGCAGGGCACAGGGCACAGGGCGCAGGGCACAGGGCACAGGGCACAGGGCACAGGGCACAGGGCACAGGGCACAGGGCGCAGGGCACAGGGCACAGGGCACAGGGCGCAGGGCACAGGGCACAGGGGGCAGGGCGCAGGGCACAGGGCACAGGGCGCAGGGCACAGGGCACAGGGCACAGGGCACAGGGCACAGGGCACAGGGCACAGGGCACAGGGCGCAGGGCACAGGGCGCAGGGCACAGGGCGCAGGGCACAGGGCACAGGGGCAGGGCGCAGGGCACAGGGCACAGGGCGCAGGGCACAGGGCACAGGGCACAGGGCACAGGGCACAGGGCGCAGGGCACAGGGCACAGGGCGCAGGGCACAGGGCACAGGGGCAGGGCGCAGGGCACAGGGCACAGGGCACAGGGCACAGGGCGCAGGGCACAGGGCACAGGGCACAGGGCACAGGGCGCAGGGCACAGGGCACAGGGCGCAGGGCACAGGGCACAGGGCACAGGGCACAGGGCACAGGGCACAGGGCACAGGGCACAGGGCACAGGGCACAGGGCACAGGGCACAGGGCACAGGGCACAGGGCGCAGGGCACAGGGCGCAGGGCACAGGGCGCAGGGCACAGGGCGCAGGGCACATGGCACAGGGGGCAGGGCGCAGGGCACAGGGCACAGGGCACAGGGCACAGGGCACAGGGCACAGGGCACAGGGGGCAGGGCGCAGGGCACAGGGCACAGGGCACAGGGCACAGGGCACAGGGCACAGGGGGCAGGGCGCAGGGCACAGGGCACAGGGCGCAGGGCACAGGGCACAGGGCACAGGGCACAGGGCGCAGGGCACAGGGCACAGGGGGCAGGGCGCAGGGCACAGGGCACAGGGCGCAGGGCACAGGGCACAGGGCACAGGGCACAGGGCACAGGGCACAGGGCGCAGGGCACAGGGCACAGGGCACAGGGCGCAGGGCACAGGGCACAGGGGGCAGGGCGCAGGGCACAGGGCACAGGGCACAGGGCACAGGGCACAGGGCACAGGGCACAGGGCACAGGGCACAGGGCACAGGGCGCAGGGCACAGGGCGCAGGGCACAGGGCGCAGGGCACAGGGCACAGGGGGCAGGGCGCAGGGCACAGGGCACAGGGCGCAGGGCACAGGGCACAGGGCACAGGGCACAGGGCACAGGGCGCAGGGCACAGGGCACAGGGCGCAGGGCACAGGGCACAGGGGGCAGGGCGCAGGGCACAGGGCACAGGGCACAGGGCACAGGGCGCAGGGCACAGGGCACAGGGCACAGGGCACAGGGCGCAGGGCACAGGGCACAGGGCGCAGGGCACAGGGCACAGGGCACAGGGCACAGGGCACAGGGCACAGGGCACAGGGCACAGGGCACAGGGCACAGGGCGCAGGGCACAGGGCACAGGGCACAGGGCGCAGGGCACAGGGCGCAGGGCACAGGGCGCAGGGCACAGGGGGCAGGGCACAGGGGGCAGGGCACAGGGGGCAGGGCACAGGGCACAGGGCACAGAGCACAGGGCACAGAGCACAGGACACAGGGCAGCAACACACACAGGTGAGGCAGAATAAAGAACTCTTTTGTGGTGGATAGAAACAAGAGAGAGGAGCACCCAGACAGCTGAACAACGCATCGTGATCTGGCGCTGCGCTGCTTAAGGCGCCTATGAAAAGCACGGCAATGCGGCAGGTGCCTGTGAAACGAGTGGCGCACTTTCTGGCGGCGATGTAGACGCGCTCCGCGTTGGCTCGTCTGGCGGCGGCACAGAGGCCGTGCTCACGCGAGTCGTTGCGCTCCAACGCCGCACTGCACTGCACCTGAGGCCGCTCACAGGGGGGGCGCGCACATGCACATGCACATGCACACGCACATGCACGTGCACACGCACGTGCACATGCACATGCACACGCACATGCACATGCACATGCACATGCACATGCACACGCACACGCACACGCACACGCACATGCACATGCACACGCACATGCACATGCACACGCACATGCACATGCACATGCACACGCACATGCAGATGCACATGCACACAGGGAGAAGACAGGAGGGCGGAGGGCGTTGCGGCAAGTGGATCACGTGTTTGGGGAAGCGGAGGGGGAGAAACCGGTCGGGTGGGAGCATTAGAATGAGCGACAGGGGAACAGGCGGAGTGAGGAGGAAGAAGGGACGCGGGGACGGAGGGAAGGAGAGGGAGGGAAGGAGAGGGAGGGAAGGAGAGGGAGGGAAGGAGAGGGAGGGAAGGAGAGGGAGGGAAGGAGAGGGAGGGAAGGAGAGGGAGGGAAGGAGAGGGAGGGAAGGAGAGGGAGGGAAGGAGAGGGAGGGAAGGAGAGGGAGGGTTTAGAGGGAACGAGGGAAGACGGCATTTGAGCCGCCTCAAAAGTCGTCTCTTTATCCGCGGATTTAATACAGGAAGAATTTTGGTTGCTTGAAAGTGTGCACGTAACGTGCAACAACTTTTGGTTCGCGCGAGGTTACCACCTGCAGGTTCCAAGGCTCCCGAGGACAAACCCGAAGAATGACGGGGCACCTGGGTTTTTTCCGCAGTGCTTTGTTGGCTTACTTCTTATCTAGTTGTGGGCCCGGGTAGGATTTCCCCAGAGTAGATCTCGAGGCTTGGGTGTCTTTTTAAGACCCCTCACTCGGAGGTTTCTTTTTCATTACCAGCGCATGCACTGATGAAGGTGTTGTGGGTTTGATCCCCACCACCGAAACATGTTTGCTTGTTGATTCAATTCAAGGGCCGGTTGAGAAACTTTTTCGAGTTCACCTATTTTCTGAGGGTACAAGTTTTTTTCTAACTGTCAGTCTTTTGCTAACGCGACCTTCCTACGCTACTGCTACTCTTCCATGACAACTGATCCCGGGGATGGTTTAGAGGGAACGAGGATGGTTTAGAGGGAACGAGGATGGTTTAGAGGGAACGAGGACGGTTTAGAGGGAACGAGGACGGTTTAGAGGGAACGAGGGAAGACGGCAAGTTGGGACGGACGGAGGGGAGGGGGGTTGGTGGTGGGGGCGGCGGTGGGCGCACGTGTTTGGCCTTGGCGTAGGCGAGGGTGGGGCGCAGCATCACCTCCACCAGGCGCCGCCCGTGCTCCATGGCGGACTTGCCGTCCACCTCGCTCGCCGGCAGCTCCATCCCGCCTGCTCCCGCCCGCCAACGGCACAAACACCCGCACGCGAGGGGGGGGGGGAGGGGGAGGGGGGGGAAGACGGGTAGAGGGGCAGGATTGGAGGGGTCCATCCGTTTCAGTGGAGCGGCGAAACGATGAAGTGGAAAGGCGAGGCGAGGGGTGAGAAAGGGTCGCTGCGTAGTAGATGACGCAACGGCAGGTTGGGCGTTGTAAGGTGCGCGCGACCCGCGCACGAGACACCGATGCGACCCGCGCACGAGACACCGATGCGACCCGCGCACGAGACATTGATGCGACCCGCGCACGAGACACCGATGCGACTCGCGCACGAGACACGGCGGCGGCATGAGGCACGGCGGCGTCGTGTTCGCCCTCGCCGCGTGTCATCGCGACCCCGGAGCCCGACGATCCAGCCACTGCGTCGGACGAAACACGACACACGGCGACCGCACGGGCGCGCTGCAGCAAGCAAGGCGCAAGGAGAGGGGAGCGGGGTGGTGCGGGCGAGAGGGAAGTGCGACGTACGGGAGCAGGGCACTTCGGTCATCACGTGCACCACGAGGATGCTGGGCGGCCGCGATAGCACTAGCGATGGCGACTGCGACTGCGATAGCGCTTGCGCGTGCGCGATGGCGAGGCAGAGCGCGTCCTTGGTCTGGTCCTTGTACTTGGTCACCTCCACCACCCACGTCGCCGACCCGTCCATCGCTCCCGCGACGCGCGAGAGCAACTCGACTGCCGTGATGCAACGGTCATGAGACGTCTAACTAACAAGGCTTGGGCAATGGACCGAACGGTCCGCTAAGGATTAGGGTAAACAGTTGGGCGGGAAAGGGAGTGAGCACCAGTTGCTGACCTAAGCAGGTGGCTCCACAAAGGCCGGCACCTCCTGGCACATATCTAGCACAGCTGGGGACGAAGAGCAATCTGCACTTCTCAAATAACATATTTGCCAAAAATTCACATCATGCTAAGGGTACTCTAAACACAAGCATCACCATCTTCTCAAGAAGGTGATCCATACATCATGCAGAGAGCAAATAATGCCTTCTGATTTCATCCTGAATTCTCGATTCATATCCTGATATGGGGAATAGGGATATGAGAGATGTGGATATGGAGGATAGGGATGTGCGCGACAGGGATACAGGGGATTGGGATATGGTATCAAACCTAGAATTTTAATAATAATAGAGTTAGAGAGTACATGCACATATACCTAAACGTTGTACCCTCTAGGAGGTTACCCTATACAGTCTATACAAACATGATCAATAAACATGTTTGACACACCCCCTGGACTGCATAGGGGAATGTCCTAGATAAGCAGCTCAGGGCGGCACTACTATGTCAGAAACCCAGCCACTAACCACTGGGTTAAAAGGGCTTGTTGAATAGCGGGTAAGTGCGCCCATAGCCCCCCAGGCTCTGCACATGTGGCCCTTCCCCGAGGATCTCAAGGGCAACCCCAGCGGGTCACTCAACACCCCCCCCCCGCTGGGATAGGTGGAAGACACGAGCGCCTCTGCAGCGCTGGCACCGGGAGTTGAACCCAAGACCTTTGGCTCTGATACCATATTAAACAGTGAAATTGATAATTGAGAGGAAGAGAGTACACAAACATATACCTAACAGTTGTACTCTCTAGAAGATGACCCTATACAGTCTATACAAGCATGATAACTAAACATGTTTGACATACTAGTCCAGCCTCTGAGACAAGGGTCTAAAAGACCAGTCAGAAGGAGTACAGACAAGACAAGAACAAGTACAGGGCGGCACTACTAGTCCAACCACTGTGAGAGGACACAAGTCCAGTCTGAGTGTACACATATATATATAGGACAGTACAAAGTCAAGGCCCGAGTAAGTGAGCGACTACAGGAACCAGACCAAGCTGTACACAGTGCCGCTGATGATCTTTAGGCGCAAGCGCCTTCGTAAAGATATCAGCTGTGTTGGCACCGGAGGCCAAGTGTACTACGCGCGCCTGGCGACGCTGCTGTAGCTCGCGCAGGAGGAAGTAGCGCAGCTGGATGTGCTTCGCTCTACCCTCGAGTCGAGGCTCCTGACACAGGAGGATCATGGCCCTGTTGTCAGCGTACAAGACCGGGGCAGAGCTAGGCCGCTCACCTAAGTCAGTGAGCAAGAAGGTCAGCCAGCGGAGCTCCTGTGCCGCCATGGCACCGGCGTAGATCTCAGCCTCACAGCTGGACTGGGCAACAGACGAGGAGCGGGTAGCTCTCCACGAGACAGCACCTGAGCCAAGGCTAAAGCAGTAGCCCTGGGAAGACCTGAGCGTCTCGGCGTCGTCTGCCCAAGAAGCGTCTGTGTGTCCAGTAAGGACCACTGGCCTACGTCCGCCTAGCACTAACCCCATGCCCGATGTACTTGCAAGATAACGCAAAACCCTCTTAGCGGCAGACCAGTGCTGAGGTCGGTGTCTGCCTGTGGCCACGAAACGAGCCAGGATGCTGAGAGGGTATGCGAGATCTGGGCGAGTGCAAGTCATCAGGTACATGAGGCAACCCACTAGCTCAGCGTAAGGACCACTGGGATCTACCGACTCCTCAGGAACTGGAGCGGAGAGTCTGTGGTCCAGAGGAAGAGGGGTGGGCTGTGCAGAGGAGAACTGAAGGCCGAACCTCTGAAGGACCTGGCGCACCAAGTGTGACTGAGTCAGGGTGATGGTGCGCGCGGCTCTGTCTCTGGAGATCTGCAAGCCAAGGTAACGGCGCAGCTCTCCAAGGTCAGTGCAGGTGTGTCTCTTCAGCAGCTCTGCCTTCACGGAGGCCAGTGCGTCCCTGTCAGCAGTGGCAAAGACCAGGTCGTCTACGTAGACAAGGATGTAGAACGGAGTCGGGCCAGCACGAACGAAGAGCGAGGGGTCTGCAGAGGACGGAAAGAACTGCAGGTCAGCAAGGGTAGCACGCAGCGTGTCGTGCCACTCACGAGGCGCCTGGCGCAGGCCGTAGACTGGACGCCGCAGAAGCCACTGGGTCCCAGGGGGGAAAGTGCCAGTAAAGCCCTGAGGACGACGCAGGTAGACCTGCTCGTGAAGGCTGCCCTGAAGGAAGGCAGTGGAGAAGTCGAGGGAGTGAAGCTCGTAGTCACGCTGAGCCGCTACGTGTAACAGAACCCGAAGAGTAGTCATCTTCGGCGTAGGAGCGAAAGTCTGAAAGAAGTCCACCCCCTCGCGCTGACTGAAGCCTCTAGCCACGTAGCGCGCCTTGAACACAGGCGGCTCTCCAGGAGGGCGCTTCACCTTGAAGAGCCAACGGCCATCGACCACGTTCACCCCAGGTGGGGGAACTGCGTCGACGAAGGTGCCGGTGGATCTCCAAGATGCCATCTCCTGTTCCATGGCAGCTATCCACTGAGAGGCCCAGGGTCCCGAAACCGCCTCAGCGTAAGTACGAGGGGTCGGGATGTCGAAAGCGTCTGGGTCACCCTCAGGGACTAGCAGCATGGAACAGAGATGGGGAGCAGCCTCGGACAGGAAAGCAAGCTCAAACTGGCGGTCCTCCAGGACGTCACTGCCGAGGGCAGGAGCACCCCCGACAGACGGAGGACAGGCAGGGTCAGAGACAAGAGCGGTGGCGTAGTCAAGGCGGCGGGTAGAGGCGAAGTGAGCGACCGCAGCGACAAGGGCGTCAAGACTCGACACTGGAACAGACGGGTCGGTAACGAGAGAGGCAAGGACCCGAGGAACAAGAGGGCGAGCGGCACGAAAGTAGTCAGACAGAGGAGGAGACGCAACGACAAGAGAGGACGGAGGAGGAGACGGGAGGAGGGGAGGACGAGACGCGTGGGACCGGAGCAACATAGGGTGAGAGCGCGGGACGGGGGAGACAGGACGAGCACGGGAGGGGCGGCGAGACCAGACGTGAGAGGGGGGCGTCGGGTCAGGAGACAGAGGAGGGGACACTGGTGGGGAACGAGGGGGAAAACGAGCCGGGGACGAGTCCGGCGGAGGGAACACGGGGCCGTAGACGGGAAGAGGAGGAGACGGCAGGAGAGGAACAGGCACAGGGTCAGGGGACGGAAGGCCGAGCAGACGGAGGGCGGACACCGGCGGGGACTGCTGCTGCGGCGACACAACACCAACGCCAGGGCCACAAGCTGCGCGACGGAGAACGCCCGAACCCTCCACACCGGCACCCCCAGAAGGGACACACCCAGAGCCCGAAACCCCGCGAGCACCGGTACCACCCCCAGGCCCGCCGGGACAAGCCACGACAGGAGCCCCGGGACTAGTACCCACCTCAACGCCAGCACCCCCAGAGTCCACAAACAGCGGCAGCGACGACGGCGGCGGCGGCGGCGGCGGCGGCTGCAGCGACGGCCGCGACGGCCGCGACGGCGGCGGCGGTGGAGACGACGGCTGCAGCAGCTGCGGCGACGGCGGCTGCGGAGGCGGTGGAGGAGGAGACACCGGGGGAGGGGCAGACGGCGAGGACTGCGCCGGAGGACTACCAGAGTCAGAAGACTCGTCGACCGGGACGACCGACGGGAGGGGGGTGACGTGAGACACACCAGAGGGGGCCGGACGGGGGGCGGGGGGGGGGAGGGGCAGGGACCACCGGGGTAGGAGGGACCAGGAATAGGGGGGGAGTAACCGGGGGACCACGGTGAGGGAAGCGGCGGCAAGGCGGTCAGGGAGGCGGGTGGCAAGGAGGTAGAGGGTAGAGGTCATGGGAGGCTGGTGGACTCTAAGCTGTGCATCAGTGCAGGCAGCGCGCCAGGTCTCATCTATCGAGCGCAGGTGGGCAGCGAGGTCAGAGACAGTGGGGAAAGACGCAAGGTCAGGAAAGAGCAGGGGGAGGATCAGGCGACCCACTGAGGCAGCAGGAGGGGTAGAATAGCGCTTGATGACAGCATCGAGGTAGGCCTGGGCAGTAGTAATGGTTCTAAAGCGAGGGCGCTCAGGGGGGGGGAGGGCATTGCTAATGGCGAGCTGAGCAAGGGCATCGCGGGAAAGCCAGACAGAGCGGGCAAGGGCAGCGGCGGCAGTGGACTCGCGCTCAGCGGGCGTGGGATCAGCGGGCAGCACAGCAGGGGGGTCAGGGCAGGGGAGCATACCGTCTAGGTGGTCAGAAAGCGGGTGGCCGTCCTGCCGCTGACCAGTGAGGTGGCGGCGGAGGTCAGCCAACCACGCCTCGAACTCCAGAGGCTGACCCTCAGCATCAAAATGAAGCTCAGCAGCCATCAGGGGCAGTGTAGGACAGTAGAGTGCGGTGTAGTGCTGTGCAGTGCAGTGCAGTACGGTGCAGGGCGGTGCAGTGCAGTGCAGTGCGGTGCAGTGCGGTGCAGGGCGGTGCAGTGCGGTGCAGTGCGATGCAGTGCGGTGCAGTGCGGCGCAGGGCGGTGCAGTGCGGTCCAGTGCGGTGCAGTGCGGTGCAGTGCGGTCCAGTGAGGTGCAATGTGGTGCAAGGCAGGGCAGGGAAGTGCAGGAGAGTGCAAAGCGGTGCGGGGAAAGGGGGACAGTACCAGGAAGTATGTAGGGCCGGGGCAGGCTCGACGGGACGGGGCAGGCGCGACGGGGCCGGGCAGGCGCGACGGGGCCGGGCAGGCGCGACGGGGCCGGGCAGGCGCGACGCGGGGCCGGGCGGCAGCGACGAGGCCGGGCGGCAGCGACGGGGCCGGGCGGCTGCGACGGGGCCGGGCGGCAGCGACGAGGCCGGGCGGCTGCGACGGGGCCGGGCGGCAGCGACGAGGCCGGGCGGCTGCGACGGGGCCGGGCGGCTGCGACGGGGCCGGGCGGCTGCGACGGGGCCGGGCGGCAGCGACGAGGCCGGGCGGCTGCGACGGGGCCGGGCGGCAGCGACGAGGCCGGGCGGCTGCGACGGGGCCGGGCAGGACACAGCAGGGCCGGGCGAGGGCGACGAGGCCGGGCAGGCGGGACGGGGCCGGGCGGGTGCGACAGGGGCCGAGCGGCTGGGACAGGGGCCGGGCGGGCGCCACGGGGCCGAGCGGCTGCGACGGGGCCGAGCTGGGGCGACGGGGCCGAGCAGGTGTGACGGGGCCCAGGAGGGGCACTACAGGGCCCTGGAGGGGCGCGACGGGGGGGGGGCCCAGGAGGGGCGCGACGGGGCCCAGGGGCGCTACGGGGCCCAGGGAGGAGCGCGGCAGGGCCCAGGAGGGGCGCTAAGGGGCCCAGGGAGGAGCGCGGCAGGGCCCAGGAGGGGCGCTAAGGGGCCCAGGAGGGGCGCGACGGGGGCCTGGGAGGGGGGGCTACCAAGCCCAGGAGGGGCGCGACAAAGCCCAGAAGGGGCGCTACGAAGCCCTGGAAGGGGCGCGACGGGGCCTGGAGGGGCGCTACGATGCCCTGGAAGGGGCGCGACGGGGCCTGGGAGGAGCGCGACGGGGCCTGGGAGGAGCGCGACGGGGCCTGAGAGGAGCGCGACAGGGCCCAGGAGGGGCGCGAAGGGGCGCGACGGGGCCCTGGAGAGGCGCTAGGGGGCACGACGGGGCCCTGGAGGGGCGCTACGGGGCCCAGGAGGGGCGCGACGGGGCCCTGGAGGGGCGCTACAGAGCCCAGGAGGGGCGCGACGGGGGCCTGGAGGGGCGTTACGAAGCCCTGGAAGGGGGGCGCGACGGGGCCTGGAGGGGCGCTACGAGGCCCTGGAAGGGGCGCGACGGGGCTAGGGGGGGGGGGGGGGGGGGGAGGGGGGGGGGGGGGGGGGGGGGTCGCGCCTGGGCTCAGGAGGGGCGAGGCTAGGCTAGGAGACGCGACGGGAGGAGCGGAAGCGGTAGGTGGGGGGGGGGGTCGAAACCTACGCGTGATACCATATCAAACCTAGAATTTTAATAATAATAGAGTTAGAGAGTACATGCACATATACCTAAACGTTGTACCCTCTAGGAGGTTACCCTATACAGTCTATACAAACATGATCAATAAACATGTTTGACATATGGGGGATGGGGAGATGGGGATAGGGATATGGGGGATGGGAAGGCTTGGTATAGAGATGTAGGGGAAAGGGAAACATGAGATAGGGATATTGGGGATAGGGATACATGGGATAGGGATGTGTGGGATAGGAACATGGGAGACGGGTGTTAAATTATATATTGTGTTATATTATTGGAAGGCTTGGTAGGTTCGAACTCTACAATAGAGGGGATCCTTGTATCCCACTCTCTTTCTATTCTTTCTCTTTGTTGTGATAAATTCATACTTAAGTATTTCTGTAAGTAGTTCCGATAGATATTGTCGAGTTACACTGTAGATATCATTCGTAGAATGACATCAGCAAATAGCGCTCGTCTGGATGGTTACGTCAGCATGCCGTTTTCAGTCACGCGAACAGTCGCGTTCCTTTCAGCAGCGGTTAGAGCACATAGCACATATAGCTCGAACAGGTACATCACCGAATAGGTACTTCTAGTAGATATAAAAGTAGCTTGTACAACTTCAATTGTTAATTTGTTCTTCAGTAAATTCTGGTCAACACTTTACAAGTTCTAAGACTTCCGCTGTCTTACTAGTCTACCATTTCAGCAAAGATTCTTAGATAAGTCTTTTAAGTATCGCAAGGCTATAACACTGTGTAAGGAATTTTATTCTTTACCGGGTTGTATTGCAATCGCGTACACCCGAACTCTCGGAACACTAGGCTCGGTCCGTTTCCGTCGCGACCCCGAGGCACGCCCGCGCCGCCTCCGACCCTTTCGACCGCGCTTGTACCCAACCTAGCCCTCCGGCTTCGTCGCCTAGCTAGAGCTCTCGCTATATAATGCTAGGCTAGCATTCTTGTACTCGTCATGATTATTCCGCGCACTCTCAGTTATTATTCATAACATCTGGTATCAGAGCTACTTTCCTGGTTCACCCCGCTTTCTCAGGGTAGTTTATTTCCAAGGCGTGGTTAACCCTGCGGGGCTGCAAAGCGGTTGTCCGTGAGCTAGAGTTATCAGCTCACACAACTACGATAGCGTTTGCGCCCCTTACGGTTTCTTACCACGGCCTTCCCCCTGCCCGAAAGGCGTAGCATTCGCATCATGTCCCAGGCCCAGCTAGACGAGGTCATGGCTCAGATGCAGGCAATGCAAGCCCAGATGGCGAGTTTGAACAGTGAAGTCGTGAGACTTCGGACGGAGAACACCGGGCTTCGCCAGACGCGTGGTGAAGCGCGTCAGGAGTCGCCTGGAGTCGCCGAAGACGAGGTCAAACAAGGTGCCGACGACGCAGCGAGCGAAACCGTTCTTGACGAGCTCGCACGGGAGTTGGAGCAGGACGATGTGCGCACTGTGACCGTAACGAAGATAAAACTCAAGCCAGCAACACCGCCCCCGTTCAACCCTTCGGACAAGGCGACGACGGTGCAAGGGTGGCTGTTCAGCATGGAGCTGTTCTTCACGGCGGCAAGTGTACAAACGGATAACGCGCGCATTAATTATGCCGTGTCGCTGCTTCGAGGACAGACGTTGGATTGGTGGCGCCGACAGTTGGCGATTGGGACTCCGGCAGGAGTGAAGCAGGCGAAGGACGGGACTTCGGACTCTTCAAACCAACAGGCAGAAGCAATATTCGGTACGACCACGATTCGCACGTGGAAACAGTGGGGCACAGCTCTGCGAGCTCGTTTTGAGCACTCATCCGCCTCAGACGACGCTCGCATGAAGCTGCGCAACTGGCGGCAGGTGACTACTGTTCAATATTACACTGCGTCGTTCTCGGCACTTGCAGACCAAGTCGACGACCTCAGCGAAGCGGAAAGGCGGGACAAATACGTTAGCGGGCTGCATTTCGATATTCAATACGAGTTGCAGCAGTCCCGTCCCAAGACGTTCGATGAAGCTGTCCAGCTGGCGTCAGCAGCCGATGCACTGCAGCAGTGGGCGAGAAAGAACAGGGATGTTGGTCGTTTTCGTGGACAGTCTCCCCGCCCCACGGTCAATGGCGTGTCAGCGCCCGATGAAATATTTCACGGGCTATGCTTTCGATGTGACAAGCCAGGTCACCGAGCTAAATACTGCCCGGCGGCGCCCAAGAAGACGAAGAACGACAAGGAGAAGCCGGGAAATGGGAAAAGTCAGTAGCAGACGGGCCCCCTACTGACGAGGCTTTGTCGCCCGAACTTCAGCGTTCCCACCAAGTTGTGGTACCGATACACGCTATCGACCGCACTCGGACGAATAACGGGAGCGAACCTGAAGATCACCCTGTGCTGGTCGAAGGCAAGGTTAACGGCAAAAAAATAAAATTATTTGTGGATGGCGGAGCTAGTCACAGTCTCATACACGTAACAACGGCGAAGCAGTTGAAGCTAACGTTGGAAAAATGTCTTCCCGAAATCGACGCGCGCCTGGTGGACGGAACTCCAAAGCAATTCGAGAACGAGCGCGCATGGTGCGGATGAAGTGTGGCGACGACTTCGGATTCAGCATGCCCATGCTGGCCACGACGCTGGACGGCTGCGACATTCTGCTTGGGCGTGATTGGCTGCGAAAATACAACCCGAGGATTGACTGGACAATTGGCGAATGCAGCGTGCACTGTGCAAACGGGTGGCGCGTACTTCCGAGCTGGCGCGGGAGGGATCCGGTGTCGACACGCGTCAACGCCATCACCCTCCAGCGAGCAGTTAAAAAAGGAGCCGATCTGTACGCCGTCCACCTGGCTGAAGCAACGGTCGATGACACGCCAAAGGACATCGACACACTTTGTGCCGCGTGTCAAAATTGACCTGGAACCCGGCGCGCAGCCTACAGTCAGGACCCAGTGGCGGCTGACTCAGCCCGAACTCACGGAGTTGCGGAGCCAGCTGGACTACCTCTTGGAGAAGGGGTTCATTAGGCCCAGCACGTCCCCGTTCGCGGCACCAATCCTGTTCACGCCAAAGAAAGACGGCGGGCTGCGAATGTGCATCGACTACCGGGCGCTGAATCGGCGAACCATTAAGTCTCGCTACCCAATCCCACTCGTGGACGATCTTCTCGATCAACTTCGCGGAGCTCGCTTTTTCTCGAAAATCGACTTACGCGGCGGTTACCATCAGATCCGAGTCTTCGCTGACGACTGCCACAAGACGGCGTTCCGAACCCGATATGGCAGTTACGAGTGCACCGTGATGCCCTTTGGCCTCACGAACGCGCCCTCCACATTCCAACTCACCATGAATGGCGTCTTCCGAGATCTACTCGACAAGTGTGTCATCGTCTACCTTGATGACATTCTGATATACAGCACAACACAGGAACAGCACCTCAAGGACCTCGAGCAAGTTTTCCAGCGGCTGCAAGAACACCGCCTCATTACGAAGGGCTCTAAGTGCGAGTTTCTAAAACCCGAACTGGAATTTTTGGGACATGTGGTGGGAGCGGACGGCATCAAAATCGACCCGAAGAAAATCACCACGATTCGCGACTGGAAGCCGCCGACGAATTTACAGGAGCTGCAGAGTTTTCTCGGGTTCGTTAATTACGTCCGGAGGTTTATCCCCAATATGGCAGGGATAACCAGACCGTTAACTGACCCATTGCGGAAGGGCACTTTGTTTGAGTGGCGGGAGAGACAGCAGACTGCTTTCGATGAACTGCGAAATTTTCTGACATCGCCCCCGGTCCTCCGAATCGCCGACCCATCTTGACCGTTCGAAGTCTTGACGGACGCTAGCGATTTCGCCATCGGTGCGATACTGTTACAAGATTTCGGCGACGGACTCCAACCCATCGCGTATGAGTCTAGGAAGTTGCAGGCAGCCGAACGCAACTACCCCGTCCACGACAAAGAAATGCTCGCCATCGTGCACGCATTCAAGGTGTGGCGATGCTACTTGACGGGAGCCGACGTGACAGTACGGACAGACCATAAATCCCTACAGTACCTCCGCGCGCAGCCGAACCTCAATCCACGGCAGATTCGCTGGCTGGACTTCCTCGAATGTAATTTCCATTACACCATCACGTACAAACGTGGGGCGAATAACATCGCCGACGCACTGACAAGACCATCCGCCCACCTCGCCTCCATCATCATCGCAAAATCCAACCCGCTGCTCACGGGCCTATTTACCCACGGATATACCACAGACCCCTTTTTCACCCGCAACCTCCACCAGCAAGCCAACACAGCCAAAGGACCCTACTTCCTAAAAGTTGGGTTCCCGCCTACAGACTCCTCCGCGAATTACTGATTCAAGAAGTCCACGATTCTAACCTCTCCGGTCATTTCGGGGTTGACAAAACCCAGAAATTACTTCACCGTTTTTATTATTGGCCTGACTCGACGTCTGATGTGCAGAGATACGTATCTGCGTGCCCGATCTGCCAACACATGAAGTCCTCTCGACAGCGGCCAGCTGGACTGCTGCAACCGCTCGAGCCACCCCAGCGACCGTGGCAACACGTGACGATGGACTTCGTCACGAGACTTCCGACAACCGCAACGGGCAACGACGCCATCCTCGTCGTCGTCGATCGACTGACGAAGATGGCGCATTTTGCACCCTGTCGCACAACAATCACAGCCGAGGATACAGCAAAACTATTAATCTCCACCATTGTTCGTTTACACGGCGTCCCATTAGCGATCATCAGCGACCGCGACCCAAAATTCACGTCCAAGTTCTGGCAAGAGACATGGGCCCAGTACGGCACACGCCTCCAATTTTCCTCCGCCTATCATCCTCAAAACGACGGCGAGACTGAACGAACCAATAAGACCATGGAGCAGCTAATACGCACCAACTGCCCCGATCCTGCCCGGTGGGAAGAATTTCTGCCCATGCTGGAATTTTCCTACAACAAGGCCCCATCTGCTACGACTACTCACTCGCCGTTTTTCCTAAACTACGGGATGGATCCGACCGTCCCAACGACTACCAACATCGACAACTTAGTGCCACGTTCCCAGCAGTCCGTGACCAGCTTGCAAGCTGCCCGGGATAAAGCGATCGAATTCATTCGCAAGTCCAACACAACTGCTCGACGCTATACAGACCTTCATCGCCACGATATTACGATGACCGCTGGGCAACTAGTCCTCCTCGACACGAAGAACCTTCGATTGCCCCTGCCGTCAAAACTCCGCCCGCGATTCTGTGGCCCTTTTTGTATTGTCAATATGGTGACACCTGTCACAGCGAAATTATTACTCCCGGACGAGTGGCGCATTCACGACGCCTTCCACGTCAGCCTGCTTCATCCCTTCGTCGCCAGCACGTCTGCAGTCGCACGACCAGCGGCCATCCCAAGTGTCCGCCCACTGGCTGAACCAACGCTTGAGCCTTTCCGGCTTTTGAGCCATCGCGTTCGCCTCGACTCGACAGGACGACACGTGGATTTTCTTGTCCGCTGGGTCGACCGTACAAGCGAAGACGACACCTGGGTCACTTCCGACTCGATTAAGGAACACTCGGTGCTCAAATCTTATTTCACCCGAAAAAGCGTTCAGGGTTTTGATCACCTTCCTTAAGAGGGGGGGTAGTGTAAGGAATTTTATTCCTTACCGGGTTGTACTGCAATCGCGTACACCCGAACTCTCGGAACACCAGGCTCGGTCCGTTTCCGTCGCGACCCCGGGGCACGCCCACGCCGCCTCCGATCCTTTCGACCGCGCCTGTACCCAACCTAGCCCTCCGGCTTCGTCGCCTAGCTAGAGCTCTCGCTATATAATGCTAGGCTAGCATTCTTGTACTCGTCATTATTATTCAGTGCACTCTCAGTTATTATTCATAACACACTGACTCTGGTGTTACAACTTGTTAATACTGGCTGTTACTGGAGGTACTTCTAGAATTACTTTCTACTTCAAGTACTTGTGTCTGCAAATTCTATACCTCGTCTCCTGCACCACCTTTTCTATTCTTTCATTTTTTCTCTCGTCAACTCTCTCTCCTAGTTCCTAGCTTCTAAAACCTCACGCCATTCCATGGCTTCCTTCCGTTCCTTCTAGCCTAGTCTACTAACATGGTATCAGAGCGGGTTCCCCTTCCCGGGCCTGCTCCCCACGCTTCCGCCGCGTACTCCTTCTCTCCCTCGCGCGCTGCCATGGCGGTCGCGTCGTGCTGCTGTGGCGGCGTCGTCGTGTCGCTGGCCGCGTCGTGCCACGGCCGTCTCGACGCGCTGCCGTGACGCCGCACCGTCGTGGCGTCGACGTCCAGACGTGACGGCGCCGCCGTCGTCGTTCCGCTGGCCGTGTCGTGCCGCGGTCGTCTCGACGTGCTGCCGTGGCGTCGCGCCGTGGTGGCGTCGACGTCCAGGCGTGGCGGCATAACGGCGCCGTCGTGCTGCCATCGCAACGTCGACGTCCCGCCGCGGCATCGACGCCGCTCCGTGACGGCGCCGTCGGGCTGCAGCCGGCCGCGCGACACCTGTGGCGCCGCTAGACCTGTCGCCCGCACGCTAGCCGTTCCCCCCCCTCCCCCCCCCCCCCCTTCCTTCCCCTGCGCCCCCTCCTCCTCGCCAGTAAGCGCCGCGCCATCCATGGCGCGTCGCTGAAGACTCGTCGCCGCCACGTCAGTGCGGCCGTTCCGCCGTCTCGCCAGTAAGCGCCGCGCCATACATGGCGCGTCGCTGAAGACCCACGCCAGTGCGGCCGTTCCGCCGTCCCGCCAGTAAGCGCCGCGCCATCCATGGCGCGTCGTTGAAGACTCGCTCCCTCCCCCCCCCCCCCCTCCCATTTTCCCCTCCTCTAGCTTGCCATCTTCTTTACCACAGCTGACGCCTGCCTCGTGAGGGCCTTCCCCATCGCCGAGGAGATTGGCCATGCCGCCGAGAGGGCGGGGGCCGCTGTAGTCGCCTCTGATATTGAAGCCGCCGCCACCGCCGCTGTTGCCGTTGGCCTGTTGCCGCTGGCCTGTTGCCGCCGCACGCCACCGCCGCCGCCGCTCTCGTCACTTCCGCTGCTGCCGCCATTGCCATCTCACGGGCCGTGGGAGTTGACCTATTTCGGAGTAGTCGTTGCTGCTACTGGGAATGGGGGTGCTAGGTTAGGGGGTGTGGGGTTGTATGGGCTTGCGACTACCAAGCATAGGGGGTGTGTTAAATTATATATTGTGTTATATAATTGGTAGGCTTGGTAAGTTATCGAACTCTACTGTAGATGGTACAATCCCCTCCTTGTATCCCTCTCTCTTTCTAGTCTTTCTATTTTCTCTCGTCAACTCTCTCTCCTAGTTCCTAGCTTCTAAACCCTCACGCCATTCCATGGCTTCCTTCCGTTCCTCCTAGCCTAGTCTTCTAGCAACGGGGTATGGATAAAAGGGATATGTGGAATACATTTTTCTTGCAAAAACAAGGGGTTGGGAGCACTATTCACGTTCTATAGCACCCTAGTGATATTTTTTAGGAAAATTGGGGAGACTAAGCTGTCAACTTATATGTATTATTTATATATAGTTGTGTAGGCTTGGTAGGTTAGGTGTGCTACAATACTGGATCATATTGCAGAGGGTACAATATATCAACATATATATTTTATACATATATATGTGTGTATAGGCTAGGTAGGTGTACTGCATATCGTGGATCCTATTGTAGAGGGTACAGACCCTTTCTTGTATTCCTCACTTCTAGTCCAACACTCTTCTCTCTCGACATTTTCTCCTAGCACCTACAACCTCAAGCCATTTCCATGGCTTCTATCCTATCCTAGCTTGTTCAACATGGTATCAAAGCAGGTCCTTCTTCTCGGGCCTGCTGGTCACGCTTTCGCAACGTTCGCTCCTCCCTCTTGTCCTTTCCGCGCCACCGCCACGGCCATGTCATGCTGCAGTGACGGCGACGTCGTGCTGCAGTGGCGGCGTCGACCCGCCAGCGCACGGACGGCACGGATGGCAGCAGCCAGCACCTGGTCTTAGCACTGGCCAGCACGCCCGCATGCAGCCAGCGCGCCACACGGGGCAGCACACTCCCTGGCTCCGCTGCTGAAGCCCCACCCCCTTCCCCTGCGTCCCCTCTTCCTCGCCGCAGCTGATGGCTGACTCGCACGGGCCTTCCCTCCGTTGCGAAGTCAGGCCACGCCGCTGAGTGCTGCGAGCTCCGCCGCTGCCGCCGCTGTCGTCCAAGCCACCGCCGCCGCAGCTGGTGCTGTTGGCCTCGCCGCCGCACGCCGCCGCCGCTGCCGTTGTCGTCGCTGCCGCCGTCGTCGCCATTGCAGCCGCTGCCCTCGCTGCCGGCATCGTCGCCTCGCACGCCGAGGGCTTGACCATGCTGGAGAAGCCGTCGCTGCTGCTGAGTATGGGGTTGCTAGGCTTAGGGGATGTGTGGCTTAGTGTACTGTGTGCGTGGTGTGTTTTCTTTTGACCTCCATTACTACTAAATCCAATGGACAGGCTAGTAGTACTACCCTGGTCTATTCTCTGCGTATCGCCTACCAAGCCTAGGGGGTGTGTCAACATATATATTTTATATATCTATGAGTATAGGCTAGGTAGGTGTACTGCATATCGTGGATCCTACTGTAGAGGGTACAACCCCCTTCTTGTATCCCTCTCTCTTCTAGTCCAACACTCTTCTCTCTCAACATTTTCTCGTAGCACCTACAACCTTACGCCATTTCCATGGCTTCTATCCTATCCTAGCTTGTTCAACACAACACCCTTCTTGTACCCCTCTCTCTTCTTGTCCAAACTCTCTTTTCTCTCATAACTTTTCTCCCTAGCTAAAACCTCTCGACATTTCTCATGCCTACCTAGCTTCTAGGCTAAAGCTAATTTCAACATGGTTTCAGAGCAGGCCGATCCTGCTAAGCCTTATCGCTACGCTTCCGCAGCATCCTCTCGCCCCTCCCGTCACTTACGCGCCGCTGTGGTGGCCACATCGTGCTGCCACGGCGGCCTTTATGCGCTGCCGTGGCATCGACGCCATGTCGTGGTGGCGTCGTCGTGCTGCCGTGGCGGCGTCGACGCGCCAGCGCACGGACGGCAGCAGCCAGCGCACGCTTTTAGCACCGGCCAGCTCGCCGGCCAGCCAGCACCGCGCCAGCCATGGCGCCTCGCTGAAGATTTGCCCCCCCTCCTCTGCATTTCCCCTCCTCGCCGCCTCAACTGCTGGTGGTCTCGTGTCGGCGTCCCCCCGTCGTCACAGTGTGAGCCATGCCGCCGGGTGCCTCGGGCGCCGCCGCCGCCGCCGGGTGCCTCGACGCCGCCGCCGCCACCGCCGCAGGTGCTGCGGGCCCTGCCGGCGCCGCTGCCGCAGTCGCTGACGACGCCGCCGCCGCTGCGACCCCCCGCTGACGTCGCCGCCTCGATTGCCGAGGGGTCGACCCGCTGGTAGACGCCACAGCTGATGCAGGGCATGGGGGTGCAAGGGTTTGGGGGTGCTGCGTGTGTGGTGTGCTAGTGCCTACCAAGCCTACGGGGTGTGTCAACATATATATATTATTTATATATAGTTGTGTAGGCTTTATAGGTTAGGTGAGCTACAATACTGGATCCTACTGCAGAGGGTACAACACCCTTCTTGTACCCCTCTCTCTTCTAGTCCAAACTCTCTTTTCTCTCGTAACTTTTCTCCCTAGCTAAAACCTATCGACATTTCTCATGCCTAGCTAGCTTCTAGGCTTAAGCTTCTGTCAACATAAGCACCCCAAATCACATGGTTAGAGGGCTCTTTCTATAGCACTTTCCATAAACCCTGCATTGTGATGTCGAGAGACCCGCTGGGGTTGCCCTTGAGGTCCTCGGGGAAGGGCCGCAGGCCTCTATGCCTGGGGGGTTATGGGCGCACTCACCCACTACTTAATAAACCCTTTTAACTCAATGGTTAGTGACTGACTTCTCACATGGTATTGAGCTAGGTTAGATTTTGTTTTTTCCATCGTTACTCACGCTTCCGCCCATGCCCCTAGATATCAACCTTTTTACGCAGATTCGGCCTTTCTTCTTGTACCTGTTA